AATTGCTCGTGGTGACATTGTAGTGAGTAAGTTTGATACCAAAGATAATCCTGCTGATATGATGACAAAACCACTTCCAATTTCTAAGTTTGAGCATTGCTTGAACTTAATTAGTGTTTGTCATTGATTTAGTCAATTGGGGTTTGTTTGGAAGAGGAGAAATGATGTTTTGAAGATATATTTTAATTCCTTGTGACGGAATTTGGCTCAAGATGGAGATTTATTGTGGTGTGATCCAAATTCCATGTGATTTTCTATTTGGTTGATTGGAGGAAGTGTAAGGTATCTGTGTTTGTAAAGTTCTAATATAATTGAAGATCAAATTTCAATAATAATTAGGAGTTTGGCTTGAAGGAGACTCTTGGATGGCTAAAGGCATATTTTGGATTCCTTCTCCATCTTGGACTCAAATAAGAGGTTTTATATATGACCACATTGTATCTCCATAATACAATATTCATATATTATTGTTTACATCTTCAATAATATATTGAGAGATCGAAAGTTTAGATTTCAATTGAGATTATTGAAATCTTGATATTGTAAACACAAAACTATTGATCATAGTGGATTGTTCTCCTCTGCCCGTGATTTTTTTTCGAATTGGGTTTCCACGTAAATTCTTGTGTTCTTATTTTCTTCTTCTTTATTTCATTATTTCAATTATCTTGCGATCCGTTTCATAACATATGGAGTATTGAGGTCATTGCATTTCAGTCTTTAGATGAGAAGCAAAATCACGTGTTGAGACCCCGTTTCTCTTTCTCTTCTCCGCAAAAATCCAATTATAGAATTCGATTCATCTTTAAGTTTCTCAAAGATACATCGTGGAGTATCCAATAATCAATACACCTTTCAAATTTGGAGATCAGTAGAGTACAATTTGTTGGAAAGAAAATTCCTCCCAATGCTCTGCCGACATCATCCCTTCTTGGTCTCGACTTGCTTTCGTGTTCATTCACAAACCTTCAACGAGTACTATTTTAAGGGAAAGGACTGCATATAACCAATCAATCATACAAAATACTATGAATGGGAAAGTGTACCTGCTTATTTTCACTCATCACACATCCATATATCAAGCTTCCTTGTGCAGAATGATAGAATGTTGCTAGTCTTTTCGTGAACGCTCTTCAAGATCTTGTAAGAGAAAATGAACTTAAATTAAAATATTCTTACTGAAGAAACTATGGTTTTGCAAAAAATGATACTTGCTCCTCTTCATCTCGGGGCTCCGTGATGCAAGGTTAAATGTTTATTCAAGACTCGACAGAACTATAATATACTTAAACAAGGACAATGAGAACTAAACAAGTTTCAATACCAAAAAGCTTGATCACCTTTGTACAAGAGGAATACTTTTGACGAATTCCATAAGTTGGAACAATTCTATATTTGATCTACATCAATCTCAGCATACCGTAGCTGTCCAAATCTCCCACATCAAACACAAACTAACACGATGAGAATCATGACATTAAGATAGTAATCCATGTGAAATCTTTAATCTATCTAATGCTTGTTATTGCCTTCCAAAATAATTATTTTGTATTCACCAATTGTTTTAAGTTGGCCTAAGCAAGGTGACATTCAGCATATCCTCAGGGTTTTTTCATGGACCATACATCGGCTCTTTGAGAAGAGCCAAATTTTCAACATCATTTATTGACAAACATTTTCAGATCATACATCGGTTTAATTTTAGATTCAAATGTTTAAAGAATTAGCATGTCGTGTCCCCAAACTATCCAATTTATTGCATTAAAAAAATTTACGAAGGACATTGTTATGTCCAAATTGTGCTGGCAAAATCCCTGTCCAAAACATCAATACAAAATAACCAATAAATATTCGAATTTAAAGACCTAAATAAATATACAAAATACATTTATCAACAGCTATATAGACTTTAAGTCCTCGTTTGAGCTCCATTTTTTAGAAAAAAATGTATTCTTGAACAGTATTTTGACCAAATTTCAACCACACATTCTTCAATATAATAATATTACACGCATAATAAAAAAATTTCCTTATTTTTTAACCACACATTTCTCATCAATACACCATTCAAAAAAAATATTTTTTTTTTGACAAAAGTGGGGCTTACACAAGCCCTAAGTTCACATGACATTGATGTTTTAATGAATAGATGATCAATTTCAAATACATCTCCAATGGACCTATCTGTAACTCACATTTATTAAATAGGAGTGATAAAAAGTAATAAATAGAAGAGAGAAAAAAAAAAAAAATACAAGAGAAAGAAAGACATAAAATTTAAAGCACCTTTGGCTTGTGTTTCAGTTTTCAAATTTGAATTTTGAGTTCATTTCTAGTTTTCTGTTTTGAGTGTTTGTTTTGAAATTGCTAAAAATGCATATAGTTTGTCATTTAAAAAAAATATTTTTCAAACAAAAAACTAAAAAGCATGTTTGGTTTGAAATTTTGAAAAATTATTTTATGACATTTTATGAAATTTGATTATTTACTAAAATAGAACAATTTTATATTATCAAATAATATATGTTATATACATTTTAAAGTTAGTGAATTTTACAATATTTTTTTTTCGCTGTAAAAGTAAAATAAAAATAAAAAATAAATTGAGTTCAAATATAGAAAATAAAAATTAATGATGTGGACTTAGAATATTTCTATCTATGTTCATTTAAATATTTTTTTTATAGAATTTTTACGTAAACCTTGAACTTTTTTTTTATAGCTTTTATTTTTTTCAAAATTTTTATTTTTAAAAAAATAAAAAAATTTATTTTTAGAATTTACATGTTTATTTTTTAAAATTTTATTTAAACGCATGTTTTTCATATTTTGAGTGTTTTCAGAATTTTTACTAAAAACACTCATAACGTCAAAAATGTGTATTTAATTTAATTTTATAAATTTAATCTTGTTTTTAAAAATGCATTTTCAAAAATACCAAACCAAATACATTTTCACCGTTTTGTAAAACTGAAAACAGTAAATCAAATGCATCCTTAGATTTTGCTAATCCACTCTGTTTAACAGAGTCTATACATTTAGATGGCCCTCATTACGCTATTTATATTTTCTTGTCACGACCACTATACAAAGTCTCACCAAGGTTGCATTGCAGAATATTTTTTTGCAATTATTGTCCATTTTTTTTCCTTATGTAGTAATTGTTTTATACAATCCTCATTAGCATTTGAGATGTTCTAAGCCTATACTTCCTCTCTCTTTCTCGATTCTCGCAAATGGCTCACCCTCTCACGTTGAATAGATTGACGTCGTGTGTCATCAGCCGCCAATAGGCATCTCTTATTCTCTAGAATCTCTACACTATTTGGGGTAGTTTTCAAACGTTTTAGGGCTGCATTCCTTTGCAATGAATCTTGTCCAAGACTCATCTACGCAATCAAATTGGAGATCAATGGTTGAATGATAATTTTGTTAAATTTATATATTTAACAAAATTGATTAAAATATAAATATATTTTTAAATTATGAAAATGTTTTCATAATAACTGTAATAATATATGGAAATGTATTCATTAGCGAGACATTGTTTCAAATTTCTTTTGCTAGTCAACTTTTGGCCACTTAGAAAAATTCTTGATTCCACCAACGTCGAAAAGAAATTGAGAGGATACTTGTATTATTGTAACAAATAAGGATAATTACCATATCAAATATATTTAATTTCAGAACTAGACAAAATATTAGAGATTTTTTTAGATGAACAAAAGTATGATACTGAGATATTTGATGGAATAAAGCTTTACCATAAATAATGTCGAAAACTAAACTAATAGCTCATAAAAGGGTAATTAACATAAAACGTTCTATCATTTTATTCCCATAATTTGTAATTAACATAAAACGTTCTTATCATTTTATTCCCATAATTTGTATTCCCATCTCCACTTATGTTTGCACAAAATGTCATTTCCGTCACTTGCCATCCCATTTGTCCATTATATAAGTTCATTTCTTGAACATGACAAAATTTAGTGTTAAAAATGTCAGTCCACTTAACTTTTTCCATTTAATGTTATTAATATATAAAAAATGACAAAAAGAAAAATATAAGAGGAAAATAAAATTCCAAATTACCATGATCATTACGTCCGTTTAAATTGATTATTGCAAAGAAGAGATTGATGGAAAATTCCTTCCCATTTCATGATGATTTGTGGAATAATCCATACTTATATGTTCTCATTTTAATTAGAGATAAAAATTAATATATAATTGATGGACTTTTAGAGAGAATTTTGAATACAAATTAGATTATTTATTTTTAACCTAAGAAAGAATTGATTATAAATGGATAATTGATAATTAAAGTAAGTTAACAATGGTGGATTCAGAATTCATAATATCTTTCGTGATTTGATTAAACTTCAAGACTTGGTTCCTCCTTAATTTTTTATTTTAGCGTTTTTTTTTTGTAAAATATCCTAGCTTGAAAATCCAAGCCTTGAGATATGATTTTATTAACAAAATTCAAGTACAATGCAAGGAGAGGGACTTATGTACCTTACCTCCAAATGAATTACAATTAAGCTTCTACTTAATTTTTTATTTTAGTTGATAGTTAGATTAATCCAATAATATTTGTCTGTATTTCGAATTAGAGCTAGTTTTAATTTCTCATAGGCTTGACACTCAATTCATCGGGGAGAAAATCGACAATAAAAATAAAAAATGAGACATTAGAACTAAACTCGATAAGAAACACACAATTTACCCCCAAATTAAAACAATTATGCTCTAAAGCAACCTTATTTTTGTGATCCTATACAATGATGAAATGACTTACAATGAGTCTAGACCTAGTGTGCAAATTTCGTGTCCCCTTCAATGTCCCCCAATTAAAAGATGCCACATCATCCAAAATTTACGTCACCAAACCCCTTAACAAACGAGAAAAATGGAGAAGAAAAAATTGAAATGACTTTCCTTTACCATTTTTTCTGTTTTTCACGGTGTTTGATGATGCATAAATTTTGAGCGAGATGTTGCTTTTAAATGGGAGAAAGCGAAGAGGAGGGGAAATTGGAGACAACATATGTGGATTCACTCACAATTATGAATTATTGTAAATTCAGTTGGAACATCCGAAATAATTTAACTATATCAACCATAGAAAATGAGCCATTTTATTTTAGGTTAAGAAGATGGGCATCGATTTCTATACTCTTTCTTGTATTAAAATGAGTGCATGTGCAAGAAAACCCTATTAAGATCAGTAGTTTGCATCTTTACATAAGCGTGTGAATCTTTCATGTGTGTGTCTATTTCACTGATTCTCTCAACCTAATCAACCAAAAACTTAAATTCTCTATGCTAACAAAATACGGAGCTGAATACAATGACACTCATGTGAAGAAGGGGGTTTGTTATATCCCATTTTATACTGGTCAAAAGTCAAGATTTTATTTCAAAGTCAAATGTTCGACTAGTCAAGGTCAGATAAGGACTTATATGAAATAAATTATTTTTTTGGAGTTTATTTTACAATTCACAATAATTTAGGGTTTAAGGTGGATTAAATTTAAAGTTGGGGATTTACTTACTTATCATTGAAAGTTATATGACCAAATGTTGTATTATATGAAAGTTGGAGGACTTCCTTTGAAATTAAGAGTTAGTGCCCATTAACAATTATACATTTATCCCATTTCTCATTCTACATACACACAGAGGAAAACCAGAACAAAGGCTGAAACGGTGGGAAAAAAGAAGAGAGTAAGAGAGGAAATAAAACGAGATAAAGCGAAAGGAAAAATGAAGAGAAAAAGGGAAAAGAAGGAAGAAAGTTAGGTGCCAATAGAAGCTTGACTTCAATTTCTTCATTTTTTCAAGAGGTAAAGAAGTAACATTTTTATGGAATGATGATGTTAAATTTCTAGGGTTCTAATTTGTTGGTTTAATTTTCAGATTAAGTTGAAAGAGTACCATTATTAGTTCAAATTCCTTGATTGATTACTTTCCATTATTAGTTAAATTTCTAGGGTTCTAATTTGTTGGTTTGCCTTTTAAATGTTGCTAATGACTATTTTTGTTGTAGTGTAGCTTTAAGTGATGAAAGGAAATTTGGAGAAATTATTCCAGTACTGAAAAATTTAGTTTTAATATTCAGAGTTACTTAGTATGATAGTGATTAAATTGGTTATTTTATATCGTATTTCTGGTGGTGAAGAAGAGATTTAAAAAGCTTATTGGTCATCCTAGCTTATAACTTATATTGAGTGAGTGAATATCTATTTTTTTTTTCAAATAAGCACTTATATTATATTAGTTCTCAAACTTATATGAAATAATTGGTATTATATTTTTTTAAATAGTAAATCATATAAGCTATAAAAGTTATTTAATTCAGAAGGTTGATTTAAAAAGCATGATTTTCAGAATAAAGTTAGCCCCTGTTTGGCCCCCATTATTGTAGATTTTTAGGGGGTTGAAAATTTTTAGAATAGTGATTGATGGGAGATGTGTGGTTGAAAAGTTCTAGATTTGTGTGTATCATTATTTTATTTGATGAATGTATGGTTGAGATGAAGACAGAGAAAAATTTAATGTAATATAATGAGATATAATGGGGGGCAAACAAGGGCTTATTTTTTTTTTTTAAATAAACAATTCTTCTAAAAGTCAAATTCAGTTCTGTTAAACAATTTCATTAGCTTAGAATATCAGTATTAAATATTTCAGTAAATCTAAAATTATTTTTAAAATTATCAAAAAGTACCCAGGTGATTTTACCCTAATCTGCACTTGAGTGAATGTGTTTACACATTTTATGACCCCATATGGTTATTTTACCCGTTATGCATTGGCGTGAATGTATTTCCATAATGCATGACATTTATGATGATTTTACCCGCTCTGCACTATTGTTGCATTTCCATAGTGTATGACCAAATTATAGCATTCGAGCAGCTCTGTGCGTATGACAAGAATTACAAAATTACAGAATTTCAGAATTTAATAACTTGGCCATGTATATTGGTATTAAACGATGCATTAGTATTGTTATTTTGAGTACATTTTTGGTGTGATTTTTCAGTATTACTACAGATTATCAAATTTCATATTATAAAATTCAGTTTATTCAGTTCATAGAATAAATATTTCAACTTATAGTATTGAATAACGATAGTATTTCGTAAAGTTTCATGGATATCAGATTATATTCGTTATACTTTGTAGTTGTTTATTTTGAATAAAGTACAAAATTCTATCATGTTTTAATTTTAAAAGTTATTATCAAACTTATAAATTTCTTAAAGTTATAAAAAGAGTAAATGAAACTTTACAGTAATTATGTACAAATAGGAAAAGTATACTTATTTGCAAACTATCCACTCACTGAATTACAAGTTCATATATTTTGTCACCTTTTTCCTTATCAGATAGTAGCTCAATTGAGCAGTATTGGAGCTTGTTTATCCATCAAGTTGAGCCACACTTTGTCATTAATTGTATGACTCATTTTGTCAAATTGCATAGTTCATACTTCTTTTGGGCTATATGTATGTTTTGTTAGAAAGGTTGATTTGTAATTCATGTATTCATATAATGGGCTCGCTGCATATTGGGTTTTTTGAGTACATTTGGGACTTTTGTTTGTAAAATAATAATAAAAGTCGATTTAACAATATTGTGTTTTGAATAGTTGAGTTTTGAGGGGCTAATGTACTTTGTTTTAAATTATATGTATTAGTTTGAGGAAATTAATTATTGGTCAGGTGATTTTAGTCCATATTACAAAGCAAATTCTGTCAAAATTTTTACAAAAGTATGTCATAGTCAAAGCAAGTCATAGTTGCCTTGGTGGTGGGTCAGACACTTAACTGATATCTACCATCGACGCACGCCACATGTCGAGCCCACTAGGGGGATTCGGGACAGGACGAGACGGGACGGGTCGTGTCGGGGTGTTTATCACTTGTCTTCAAATTGCTTTTTGTATTGAAAAAAATTAATTTTTCTCAAGACTTTCACTGGCTGTTGGAGGTCCATTGACTTGGTTTATTACATTGATGAAGAAATTCTTAACTTTTCATGAATTGTAAAGTACATGACTTTTATTTTATTTTATTTTTTTTGTTTTGTTTTATTGAGTTTGCCGTTCTCAATATTTTGTCACTGTTTATAAGAAAAGTATTTGAACTCATATACTCTATAAACTTTTTTGAACAAATAACTGAAGAAAAACATAGAAGAATCTATTCATAATCAGATGTATTCCACTTTCACTAAATTGTATACATAACTACAACTGTGGTATCAAATGAAATTTACATATAACATATATGGCATGTTCGCTATGCTGAGAATTGGATAGTAATAGACAAGAACGAATATAAACTAAAATCATGTTCATTAATCATATAGTCCTATCGAGTACTGCATAGCAGATATGGACGTATTTACATTGGAGCTGGAGCACAATCTACAGGTGAAGATGGAGAAGGAGCCGAAGCAGACATAGGACCAGCAGCAGCAGCAATAGGGCCAAGAGTGCACCAGAACTTTGAATTTGAGCCATTGAACGGCGTGAATTTGTTCATTGAGATTTGCACAGATCAGGTAAAAATGCTCCTATTAATTGTTATCAAGTACCATATTAGCAGTAGCAGATGCAAATTATCACTTTGTCGACTTTCCATTTATGAAAATTATATACGTGTCATGACTTCAATAAAAAAATGTGTGGATTGTTCTTGAGAGGGCTCGTGTTGAAGACATAAAATTAATAAATTTGTTCACTATTTTAATAAGTTAAACTTTTAGATGATGTTGTCTGAGGAAGAATTGTGGGTTGTGAAGATCACCTTCTCCGAGAGCCAAATTGTAATAAAGATCAACAATGTTGGGACAGTTCTGGTAACACTGCGGTGAGCACAGCTTGGCAATGAACTGAGAGTCGAGAAGGGCGTCTGATGAGATCCCGACAGATTTTCTATCGACCCACATGAATTCTTGCATTCATCAGCCTCAATATACTCATACAAGTTAATTGCAAAAACTTCAAATGCCTTGCACTAGAAATCCATAGTTCCATCATTTGATGCGTATGTCTCTAACAGGCATCGCTTCCCAAAGGACGCGATTGAGAATGAACACAATCCAATCGGCAATTCCTCGCACAATAATTCCCTTGCATCCAAGAAGGAAAAGAAACAAAACTGTTAATCGTTGCACAGGATTGGACAATAGATAGAGCAAACTAATTGAATAACTTGCCTTGTAGATTACCAAGAGCGCCATGGAGGAAGAGAGTTAAGGCAAGGAAGATGAAAATTTTCATTTTAACACAGAAGCTTGATTCGTGCTTATAAAAATTTTGGCTCGATGATGTTGGGAAAGGAGTTAAGTTATATGCTTGTAGAGAGTGCATCTTTTTTATTGGTGGTGGGGGAGTGGTAGGGTAGCGTAGGGTAGGGTGCTTAGCAAATGACATTGTAATGGTATTGTTTGAGCTGTATTTTGTCGTCACTTATGGAATTTGATTGAAGGAATCTTTGTCTGTTTCACTTATGTTCAGTAAGATTTCTTATAATAAAAATGTTTGTTTCATAGTTAAAGGCACATTTGATGTGTTCGAGGTAATCTTTAGCGCCGACCAGGATTAAGTTGATGGAATATTGATCAAAGTAATTGACATGTTTTGTGTAGGGAGAAAGAAGCTTTTGTTAGTGAAAGTGACAAAATATCAGCAAAGCAAGTTTATAAAGAAAATATAGATCAAAATTTACATAGCTTAATATTTTGTTGTTGGAGCCATACACATCAATATTTTATTGAATAACCTCAAATTTAATCGTTCGATTAACTATGTAAAGTATCATGTATAGTTAGCTAACAATCCTTGGCATTCCGTTTTGCCCTCGAAGACCAACAAAAGAGAGAGAGAACATTGCTCAAAGACAACACAAAGTACTAAAAATTAGTAATTTGTTATAAATTTTATGGCGAGAGGACAAAATAAGAATACAAATCATCATCATCATCATCATCATCATCATCATCCATTTGAGAGGATACATTTTGTTAGGAAATATTTAGACACAAATATGCGGAATTAAACAATCAACAAAAAAAAAAGAAGCAACAAGTCGCTATTTATTGGTTCTAGATGATTAAGGTTATTAATTCAATTATACCCCCAAATAACCAATCGCATAAACACTCAGATCAAAGTAGTAAAAAGTAATAACACCAAAAATTAATGACGGAGAAAAATACATCGAAGTAGTCTTCACAATGATTAGAAACCTCTAAACAAACATTGCCAAAAAGATCCATTAGAAAAGTTAACTTACAATTTGTCCACACACTGCTAGATCTTAGTTGACTCTAACCACTCAACCTATAAATTATCGAAGAACTCTTCGATTGTGCGATTGGCACTTCTCAAAGGTTTGAGCTACTTTTCTCTCCATTGGATCACTAACAACAAACTCGTTCCGGAGCACTAGAATTCCAAGTGCCTCTTCTCCAAACATCGGGACTCTTAACGCTTATAGGTGAATGTAGAAATTTTTAGTGTTTAATTTTTAGATCTTTCTGTATTTGATCTATGGCTGAGGCAAGAGAATATTGGAATATGTAATTGATTTTCAAAGGATAATCTCTTGAGTTATAAGGCTCAACCAATTACAAAGAATACTTGAGAAAATATATGAAACTTTGATATTAGAGTTGAATCAAGAAATCTTATGGAATACGTGTTTAATCTTTAAAGAATAATTTCTTGTGTGAAAATAATGTTCAACCACACCTAAAAATATTTCATGGCTTGTATTTTTATAATGGATAGTGTTTGAGGTTGAATATGATTGAAAAATAACTGCTTCACGCGAACTAGGGTTTCTGTTAGTCGCATCGTCGCTCGAGCTCCTAGAGGGCTACCAACGAACTCTCTTTGAGCAGCTGTCAGTATTTTCATCATATTTTTCTTCCGATATTGGATTGAGGCGATTCAAAATGCGTTGAAAAGTTAATTTAAGAGGCCACAATTCTTTTGAAAGTAGAATATTTCAAATTCGAATGTTTTCTATATGAAAAATGCATCACAACTTTTGACTGATAATTTAGAACATGACTTGTGAGGTACTTTGACATGATCATTTGTAATCTTCTTGGACATCTTTAAGCTATTTAACTCGTCAAGACCTATACTGCCAACCAAGTGACTTTAAATATAATTCCATTAATTTAATTTTGTCTAAGGAATAACCAATTATAAATAGAGATTTAATAAACTCCTACTTTGGCATTCGATGACAAAATAGTTTATTTCAAAGTTAAAATAAAAAACAACTTAATAACAATCTATCCAAAGACTTAATTTCCAAACTTTAACTCAAATCTTGTCAAACATGTTTTCTGAAACACATAAAAACAAAATCACTGCGTGAAAAGCAAGAGGAAACGTATAATAAGGCATATACCTAAGTTAGATAAATAACTTAAGCAAAACGCATATAACACCAATCCATGTACTACAATGAACATCAATTAACTTAGAATCTAAACATGACAAGATGAGATACATAGCTGAACTAGCAACACAAAGTAATGATTTTGATACTATACAAAACGTGTAAAATAATATCAATAAGCAAAATATCCAATAATGCTAGTGAAATTATAAATCAATCAAGGAATTACTATGACTCCCTCTAACTCAAATACTCATCAACTTTCTGAAATAAATACTAACTCTCTCCATTTTTTACGAATAACAAAGAAAGTCTAGCAATATACTATCTCATAAATAGCATGGAGAGGATTGACTAAAAAATACACGTGGACAAATTATGCAAAATTATGCAACACGTGTGATGGGAGAATAAAAAGTTTCTTTTGAGACAACTATTTTTCATGAATTTTTAAATATAATATCATGAACAATGTTATTTGCTTACTTATACAGGCATAATTCATAGATGGAAAACTTTTTCCACATAACTTATTTTAAACCTATATGTAGTAAATTGTATAAACTACACATGAGTGAAAAGTGCCACTAAATTTTGGTAAGTAAGTTTCATAACATTAAATCAATGAGAAAGGACATGAAAAGATCATGGTGAATGAACATATTCTTCAAAATATGAAGGCAAACCTAGTGCTATTAGAATCTTTTAAATAATTTTTTTAATGTATAAATTTTCTTTATATATAATTTTCTCTCCTTTTTTTCATATCTTATATGCATACTTATATTCGTTATGCATATTTAATAACCTCTATAATGAGTTTTAGGCTGATAACTCAAAAATCAGACGACTATAGAGAACCAAATTTTAAAATATTCAACATGCTTAATTGCTCAAGTCAGAAAGACCACGAAGAAAAATATAAGATGTAGCTTACTTTTTCATATATTTCAAATATTTTGAATCTCAACCATTTTTTCTTTTATGAGGAATATACAAGAGTTCAGGTCAATTAGTTATAGGTCATGCTATATTAAAAGTCACTCACTGTACAGATGATCGACATCCTAAACTCACACACACGATCAAAATCCACTCATGAAAGCTTAATGTGTGTAGGCAGTGTAGAAGATGCATTTAATAACCTGTACTAAGTACTCCAGATAACTTCTATTCGAAGTTAATGGAAACTTTATTAACAGCTCATAAACTATACTAGTACTTGATTACAAAATAACATGTTCAAAAAATTATCAATTGGAAGTGCTATGACTTCAAAAATCCTAGTTTCATTTTTTTGTCAATTTTTTTTTTTTTTTAATAAAGGAATAACGCAAAAAGAAACTACTAATATACAGTGAATGCATGTGAATACATGAATATATAGATATCATGAATAATGCAAATGCATACATCTAAACACATAATTAATGAGGCATACAAATGTTCTTATCATGAAGAGAGCAATATCATAATTAATATCCTCACTTTGACGTGTGAGTTCACTATTTTGACCCAAATCTTTTTAGAAGAAGAAGTTATCTTAGTCAATTGAGTTACTAATTCAGCCAAATGACTAACTTGATTAGTCAAGAATCTAACATTAATAGTTAGATTTTGTTTCTTGTTCCTATTCAAAGGCTTATGATACTTAGGTTTAATGTGACCTAACTCACAACAATTGTGACAGATGGGAATGAATTTAGGAGCAATCTTAGGTGGATGAAATCTATGTTGGACAGATGATTTCGATCCTCAAGTACCTACAATCTTGGTCTTTTTCCAACTCAGAGCTCGCGACACTTTGATCTTATGTATCCTATATTACCTCAATGGTGATACGTGGGGATGAACCTTGGAGCAACTCTAGGTTTCAAGTTTTGAACCTTAGATTTGAAAAAGGCTGGTACAAACTTATTTCTAGAAGAGAAATTGGTATGAGAATTTGTTTTATAAAAGCCTAATCCTTCTCTTTTCCCAGCTTGATTTTGCAATTCTAATATGTTGTCAAGCTTTTTAGAACCACTAGAAAAAAATTGAAGTTGGGCATTTGATTTTTAAGATTACTTACAAGAGTTTTAACTTTAATTTCTAAGGACTGTTCCTAAACTCTTAATTTATTGAATACTTTTGGTAGACTTCGTAAGTTTGACAACAAGCTTATTCAGTTTCTTAAAGACTAATCTATTAACTTTATGTAACTTGAGACTCTCCTCAAACAGCTAAACCTGATGAATATCCATTTTATTCTCAGATCATTCATCAAAAAGTGATTGACTCATTTAGATAAAATTGGATCATGGATCATAATCAAGCTCGACACCACTTGTTATGAAATATTTAGACCCAAATATGGGGAATTAAGACAATCAACAATAAAAAGTAACAAGGCACTATTTGTTAGTTCGAGATGATTAAGATTATTAATTCAACCAAACCCTAATTTAACAATCACATAAACACTCATATCAAAGTAGTAAAAAGTAAATAACAGTAGAATTTGATGACAGAGAAAAGCCCCTTGAAGAACTATTCACAAGGATAAAGAACCTCCGGACAAACCTTGTCAGGAAGACACACTAAAAAAGTTATCTTACAATTGGTTCAGACCCTATTAGACCTTAACTGACTCTAATTACCCAACTTGCAAATCATCGAAGAACTTTTCGATTGTGTGACCCATGCTTCATAGAACTCTGTACTACTTTTTTTTTTTCACTGGATCACCAAGAACAAACTAGTTCTAGAGCATTGGAACTCCAAACTCCTCTTCTCCAAATTTCAGAAATTTGAAGGCCTACGGGTGAATGTAGGGATTTTTAGTGTTTGATCTTTAGATCTTTCTGTGTTTTGACCTATGCTGAGGTAAGAGAATATTGGAATATGTAATTGATTTTCAAAAGATAATCTCTTGACTAAATATATGGTTCAACCAATAACAAAGAATATTTGGGAAACTAAATGAAACTTCGATCTTGGGGCTGTATAAAAAATTCTTTGAAATATGCGTTTGATCTTCAAAGAATGATTCTTGTATGAAAATAATGTTCAATAGTGGATAGTGTTTAAGGTTGAATATGATTGAAAAATAGTTGTTTCAAGCGAACTAAGGTTTATGTTCGTCACACTACCACTTGAGCGCCTAGAGCGGGGCCAGCTCTCTTTGAGTATCTGTCACTATTTTCATTATATCTTTCTCTCCCAATACCAGATTGAGGAGATTTAAAGTGTATTGAAAAACTAATTTAAAGGGATTTTATCCTTGTAATAGTTCAAGGGGTTTTTCTCCATCATAAATTTTTGTTGTCATTCACTTTTTGTAACACCCCAAATTCTTGAAATTCAAAGCGTTACAAGAAAAATCTTTTAGTTGAGGCTCTTTAATGTTAACCAAAATAAATTGTAAACAATAAGAATTTTGGATTTGAAATATAGAAAAATAATGGAAGATATTTGTCCATATAGACTTAGACAATTATGGTGTAATTTGATTTTGGAAAACATCTCGAGAAAATTCAACAAATACCAATTGCACATCAGTGGAGAGAAAAATATGTTTGGCCTAACAAACGTCAACTAAAATTTATGAAATTTTAAAATAGCCTATAACACTCATATACGTACAACATATAAAAAATTGGGGTCTTGACGATAATGTTTGAAGTACAAAAATATTTTTAAACTACGCTGAACACTATTTTCAAAACTGACCTAATGCAGTACACTAAAACCAATAAATATCATTATCATCTACGCTGAACAGTATTTACATGTTTTGTATAGTATCACTATCATTATGCCAGTTGAGCTATATATCTCATCTTGTCGTGTTTAGACTCTAAGTTAATTTATGTTCATAATAGTACATGCATTAGTGTTATACGTGTTTTGCTTATGTTATTTATCTAACTTAGGTATATGCCTTATTATAAGTTTCGTCTTACTTTTCACGTAGTGATTTTGTTTTTATGTGTTTCAGAAAACATGTTTGACAAGATTTGAGTTAAAGTTTGGAAATTGAGTCTTTGGATGGATTGTTGTTAAGTTGTTTTTTATTTTGATTTTGAAATAAACGATTTTGTCATGGAATGTCAAAGTGAGAGTTTATTGAGTCTCTATTTATAATTGGCTATTTCTTAGAAAAATTAAAGTAATGGAATTATAATTAAATTCAATTGGTTGGTAGTATAGGTTTTGACGAGTTAAAAAGTTCAAAGATGTCCAAGAAGATTACATATGATAAATGTGATGCAATTAGAAGTCAAAGAAGTGTCAAAGTACCTCACATGTCATGTTCTAAATTATCAGTCACAAGTTGTGATGCATTTTTCATATAGAAAACATTCGAATTTGAAATATTCTACTTTCAAAAGAATTGCAGGCCTTTTAATTAACTTTTCAACTCACTTTGAATTGTCTCAATCCAATATCGGAAGAAGAGAAATATGATGGAAATACTGATAGCTGCTCAAAGAGAGATTTTTGGCAACTCTCTAGGAGCTCGAGCGACGATGCGACAAATAGAAACCCTAGTTCGCATGAAACGGTTATTTTTCAATCATATTCAACTTCAAACAATATCCATTATAAAAATACAAGCCACGAAATGTTTTTAGGTGTGGTTGAACATTATTTTCATTCAAGAAATTATTCTTTAAAGATTAAACACATATTTCAAAAAATTTCTAGATTCAAATCTAAGATCAAAGTTTAATATATTTTCCCAATATTTTTTGTTATTGGTTGAGCCTTATAACTCAAGAGATTATCCTTTGAAGATCAATTACACATTCCAATATCCTCTTGTCTCGGCCATAAATCAAAATACAGAAAGATCTAAATATCAAACACTAAAAATTTCTACCTTCACCTATAAGCCTTCAGAGTTCTGATACTTGGAAAAGAGGCGCTCGCCTGATGCTTTAGGAAGTGCAAGTTGCACAATCGAAGAGTTCTTTGATGATTTACAGGTTGAGTGGTTAGAATCAACTAAGGTCTAGCAGTGTTTGGACTAATTGTAAGTTAACTTTTCTAATGGATCTTTTTGACAATGTTGTTAAGAGGTTTCTGATCATTGAGAAAAGTACTTCAATAGTGTGGCTGATCATCCTCTCGGACCAACTACTGATCATTACTTTGGTAAGTTACTACTTTCATCCGAGTGTTTATGCGATTGCTTATTTGGGGGTATAATTGAATTAATAACCTTAATCATCTAGAACCAATAAATAGTGACTTGTTGCTTTTTTTTTTTTTTGNCTTTTGTTGGTCTTCGGGGGTAGAACGGAATGTCAAGGATTGTTAACTAACTAAACATGATACTTTGTATAGTTAATCGAATGATTAAACATTAAAATATTGATGTGTGCGGCTCCAACAACAAAATATTAAGCCATGTAAATTTTGATCTATATTTTCTTTATAAACTTGCTTTGCTGATATTTTGTCACTTTCACTAACAAAAGCTTCTTTCTCCCTACAAAAAACGTGTCAATTACTTTGATCATTATTCCATCAACTTAATCCCGGTCGGCGCTAAAGATTACCTCGAACACATCAAATGTGCCTTTAACTGTGAAACAAACATTATTATTATAAGAAATCTTACTGAACATAAGCGAAACAGACAAAGATTCCTTCAATCAAATTCCATAAGTTACGACAAAATACATCTCAAACAATACCATTACAATGTCATTTTGCTAAGCACCCTACCCTATCACCCCCACCCCACCACCAATAAAAAAGACACAGATACACTATAAATACCATCGTCTTCATGTACTCTCTACAAGCATATAACTTAACTCCTTTCCCAACATCATCGAGCCAAACTTTTTATAAGCACGAATCAAGCTTCTGTGCTAAAATGAAAATTTTCATCTTCCTTGCCTTGACCCTCTTCCTCCATGGAGCTCTTGGTAATCTACAAGACGAGTTATTCAATTAGTTTACTCTATCTATTGTCCAATCCCATGCAACGATTAACATTTTTGTTTCTTTTCCTTCTTGGATGCAAGGGAATTATTGTGCAAGAAATTGCCGATTGGATTGTGTTCATTCTCAATCGCGTCCTCTAGGAAGTGATGATTGTTAGAGACATATGCATCAAATGATGGAACTATGGATTTCCAGTGCAAGACATCTGAAGTTTTTGCAATTAACTTGTACGAGTATATTGAGGCTGATGAATGCATGAGTTCATGTGGGGTCGATAGAAAATATGTCGGGATCTCATCAGACGCCCTCCTCGACTCTCAGTACACTGCAAAGATGTGTTCACCGCAGTGTTATCAGAATTGTCCCAACATTGTCGATCTTTATTACAATTGGGCTCTCGAAGAAGGTGATCTTCACAACCCACAATTCTTCCTCAGACAACATTATCTAAAAGTTTAACTTAATAAAATAGCGAACAAATTTATTAATTTTATGTCTTCAACATGAGCCCTCTCAAGAACAGTCCACACATTTTTTTATTGAAGTCATGACACGTATATAATTTTCATAAATGGAAAGTCGACGCAGTGATAATTTGCATCTGCTACTGCTAATATGGTATTTGATAACAATTAACAGGAGCATTTTTACCTGATCTGTGCAAATCTCAAGAACAAATTCACGTAGTTCAATGGCTCAAATTCAAAGTTCTGGTGTAGCTCTTGGCCCTATTGCTACTGTTGCTGGTCCTATGTCTGCTTCTGCTCCTTCTCCATCTTCACCTGTAGATTGTGCTCTAGCTCCAATGTAAATACGTCCCTATCTACTATGCAGTACTCGATAGGACTATATGATTAATGAACATGATTTTAGTTTATATTCGTTCTTGTCTATGACTATCCAATTCTCTGCGTAGCGAACATGCCATCTATGTTTTATGTAATTTCATTTGATACCACAATTGTAGTTATGTATACAATTTAGTGAAAGTGGAATATATTTGATTATGAATAGATTCTTCTATGTTTTTCTTCAGTTATTTGATCAAAAAAGTTTATAGAGTCTATGAGTTCAAATACTTCTCTTATAAACAGTGACAAAATATTGAGAACGGAAAATTCAATAAAACAAAACAAAATAAAAAATAAAAGTCATGTACTTTACAATTCATGAAAAGTTAAGAATTTCTTCATCAATATAATAAACCAAGTCAATGGACCTCCAACAGCCAGTGAAAATCTTGAGAAAAATTCATTTTTGGATACAAAAAGCAATTTGAAGACAAGTGATAAACACCCTGACACGACCTGTCCCACCCCGAATACCCCTAGTGGACTCGACACTTGGCGTGCGCCGATGGTAGATATTAGTTAAGTCTCGGACCCACTGCCAAGGCAACTATGACCTGCTTTGACTGTGGCATACGTTTGTAAAAATTTTGACAGGATTTGCTTTGTAATATGGACTAAAATCACTTGAACAATAATCAATTTCCTTAAACTAATATATATAATTTAAAACAGAGTACACCAACCCCTCAAAACTCAACTATTCAAAACACAATATTGGTAAATCAACTTTTTTTATTATTTTACAAACAAAAGTCCCAAATGTACTCAAAAAAACCCAATATGCAACGAGCCCATGATATGGATACATAAATTACAAATTAACCTTTCTAACAAAACATACATGTATCTCAAAAGAAATATGAACTATGCAATTTGACAAGATGAGTCATACAATTAATGACAAAGTGTGACTCAACTCAATGGATCAATAGGCTCCAATGCTGCTCAACTGAGCTACTATCTGATAAGGAAAAAGGTACCAAAATATATGAACTTGTAATTTAGTGAGTGGATAGTTTGCAAATAAGTATATTTTTCCTATTTGTACATAATTAATGTAAAGCTTCCTTTACTATTTTATAACTTTGAGAAATTCAGAACTGTGGTAATAACTTTTAAAATTGAAACATGATAGAATCATAAAATTCTTTGTTCTTTATTCAAAATAATTAATTGTAAAGTATAACGAATATAGATAATATGATATCCATGAAAATCTATGAAATAATGTCGTTACTCAATACTATAAGTTGAAATCTTTATTCTATGAACTGAATAAACTGAATTTTATAATGTGAAATCTGATAAACTGTAGTAATATTGAAAAATCACACCAAAAAGGTACCCAAAATAATAATATTCATGCATCATTTAATACCGATATACATGGCAAAGTTATTCAATTCGGAAATTCTGTAATACATGCGCAGAGCTACCCGAATGCTATAATCTGGCTGTACACTATGGAAACACATTCACGATAGTGCAGAACAAGTAAAATCAACATAATTGTCATACATTATGGAAACACATTCACACCAGTGCAGAGCAGATAAAATAAACATATGGGGTCATATACTGTGGAAACAGTAAACAAGTGCAAACTAAGGTAAAATCATTTGGGTACTTTCTGATAGTATTAAAAATAACTTTAAATATGTTGAAATATTTCATACTAATATTCTAAGCCAATGAAATGGTTTAACTTAACAAAATTTAACTCTTAGAAGAATAGTTTATTAAAAAAAATAACTTTATTCTGAAAATATGCTTTCTAAACCAACCGTTTGAATTAACTAACTTTTACAGCTTATAAGATTTACTATAAAAAATATAATAACAATTATTTCATATAAGTTTGAGAACTAATATAATATAAATAATTGCTTAGTTAAAAAAAAAAAAAAAAGATATCCACTCACTTAATACAAGTTATACGCTAGGATGACCGATAGGTTTTTCCAATCTCTTCGTCATCACCTGAAATGCGATGTAAAATAACCAATTTAACCACTATCATACTAAGTAGCTCTAAATATTAATAATCGAATACTAAAACTAAATTTCTCGGTACTGGAATAATTTTCCAAAATTTCCTTTAATCACTTGAAGCTAATTCCACTTTCTAGTCCCTTTACTAATAGCTAATTCATCAAAATAACATTCACCCCAAGCATAAAATAATTATCCCATCCAACGAAAACTTGAAATCATATTTAACGACCCGGGTCCTCCTTAATGGGTTGTTTTGGTCGTTAGATCGACGATGTACTGTCCCCATCGTACCAACATGAGTTTTTTCAGCATGTTTTGTCCTCACTAGCACGCTCCCCAAGAAAACTTCCCAGGGGGTCACCCATTATAGAATTGTTCCAAACCAAGCACGATTAACTGTAGAGTTTCTAACGATGGATTTTTGGAAAAGAAGGTGCACCTTGTTGTATGAGTAATACCTATTAAATCTTTTAAACTTCCCTGGTCTGGGTATTACAATCATCCCCCGTTAGACACACGACGTCCTTATCGCACTTGATCCATCTGAGGATCCGTTACCAATCGTTGGGATTCTAGAGGTGGCTCCTACTGGTTCAAGTGGTGGCTTCCACCCTATGGCGTAGCACTTTGTTCTGCATAGCACTTAGTTCCCGATTTTCGACTGGCAACTGGGTTGTGATACCATTTGAAACAACCTGGGTCCCACTTAACGGGCTATCCCAGCAGTTAGATCGACAACTATTGTCCCCATTGTACCAACATGAGTCTTTTCAGCATGTTTTATCCTCACTGCACGCTCCCCAAGAAAACTTCCTGGGTGGTCACCCATCATAGAATTGCTCCAAGCCAAGTACGTTTAATTGTAGAATTTCTAACGATAAACTTCAGAAAAAGAAGGTGCACCTTGTTGGTATGAGTAGTACCTATCAAATCTTTTAAGCTTCCCTGGTCTAGGTATTACATCGTACTTCCACCAATTGAATTTTCATCTTGTTCCGTAAATACATTCTTTCAAGTGAGTATTTCATCAACGATATTATTTCTCCAAACAATCTTTACTAAATAACACAATTAAAAACTCTACGGCTTGCCAAAAATGGTATTTCATACCTTAATGTAAATGGAAAGTAATCAATCAAGGAATTTGAGCTAACAATGGTACCCCTTCAACTTAATCTGAAAATTAAACCAACAAATCGAACCCTAGAAATTTAACATCATCATTCCATAAAAATGTTACTTCTTTACCTTTTGAAGAAATGAAGAAATTGAAGTCAAGCTTCTATTGGTACCTAAATTTATTCTTTCTTTTCCACTTTTGTCTTCATTTCCCTTTCTTTCCTTTTTCTTTCTTTTTTTCCTCCCTCTCTCTCATTTTTTTCCCACTATTTCAGCCTCTATTCTGGTTTTCCTCATTTTTTTGTGTGTGTATGTAGAATGAGAAATGGGATAAATGTATAATAGTTAGTGGGCAATAACTCTTAATTGCAAAGGAAGTCCTCCAACCTTCATATAATACAATATTTGGTCATATAACTTCCAATAATAGGTAAGTACATCCACAACTTTAAATTTAATCCGCCTTAAACCCTCAATTATTGTCAATTGTGAAATAAACCCCAAAAAAATATTTTATTCCATATAAATCCCTATTTGACCTTGACTTTGACTAGTCGAACATTTGACTTTGAAATAAAATCTTGACTTTTGACTAGTATAAAATGAGGTGTAACAATCTTACCTTATTAAGCGAATTTTATCCTCAAAATTCGATTGACAATTGACTAATCAATGAATAGATGAGGATATTGAGCACGCATCTGATCCTCATTTTTCCATGTAACCTCTTATACAGCCTGATTCTTCCAAAGTACCTTGACAAGTGTAATTGTTTGGTTTCGCTGAATTTGCACCTTTCTGTCTAAAATTCTCTCTAGCTCTTCTATATAGGTCAAATTTTCCTTCAACTGAATTGACTGAGACTCTAGAACATGAGAAGCATCTGCAATTACTTGCGGAGCATAGAAACATGAAAAATACCATGGATCCAAGATAATCTAGCTGGCAAATCTAAACAATATACAATAGGACCAATCTATTCAGTAATCTCATAGGGTCTAATATACCGTAGACTCAACTTTCCCCATTTGCCAAATCTCAAAACCCCTTTCCAATTTGACAATTTAAAAAATACTTTATCTCCAACTTCAAATTCAAGATCTTTCCTGCGCTTATCTGCTAACTTTTATGTCTGTTTTGTGCTGTTTTCAACTTTTCTCTAATCAATTTCACATTTTATGAAGTCATTTGAACCAATTCAGAGCCTACTAACTACCTTTTGTTGACCTATGATTCAATACAGCTTCATTTGTTTTGATTCTAACAAATAATACACTTATATTTCTAACATGTTTTATTTCTTGAGTTTTTCATGAATATATCTTCTTAAGTATTCAAAGACTCAAATTGTCATCCGTTAAAGAACAAGCAATCAAATAAGACTCGAAGAGAACAAGAACTTTGAAGATTAGAGTTTAGAAGTAGTTTATCGGAACTTAAATGTAAATGTATTAACTTATCGATTCTTAGCAAGTGCATAAAGCTCAAATTATTTTCATAATCCATCACTTGCATAAAAATGTTTTTCATTCACAATATGAAATAGATTTTGAAAAGGCAATAAAAAAAAGAAGTCAACTTTCGGTCCACCGAAAATTCAAATTTCGATCGACCAAAAATGCAGAATTGGTCAACCAAAATTCCAACGGTTTGATTTCTCAATGAATATAACACTTTCTGTCAACCGAAATTGGTCAACCGAAAGGACGGTTGGACCTCCTTTACTCTATAAATATTCATCTCTTCTTGCATTCATTTTCAACAATTTACAAGAGATATTTAGAGAACTTATTTATTGAAAATCATTGAGTTTACTTGATTCTAGATTCTACTTCATTTATTACAA